AAACCTTTTTATTTGGGGGATGGGACTCCTCCTTCGATCTCACTGGCCCGCAAAAATAAGAAGGATTTTGAAAAGGTCCTGGATGATCCCGAAACTGCCCGTGTAAATTCCCAAAAGATTCCTATGTCTTGGCCGTAACAACCTTATACCCGAAACTCAATCCTAATGCCTTACCACTTCAAGCCTAAACCCCACACTCCTAAGCCTGAACCCTAAATCCTTCGCCCCTAGCCCCACACCCCTACCTGGACCCCAAAAGTAGGTAAACTCACAGCCCCTAACCCCTAAAGTTAGCCCAACATACTTTTGGGGCTCAGGTAACCCTAAACTCTTCACTACCCTAGGACCCTAAACCTAGACCCCCAAAGGTCTGCAAACCACACGCCAAGGTTCAACCGCTGCATGGACTCAGAGACCACCACCAGAGGGGCTTGGTCGCTGCAGGCCAGAACCACCGGAAGGGAATCCTTATTCTAATGAATGTGTATCAAGGGAGAACCTACGTGGGGTAGTATAAGAGCGGGGGGGTTCCCCGCAAAGGAGGGGAACCCTACCTACACCCTAAACCCTAACACATGCCAGCCTTGGTTGCGTATTGATCATGATGGTTGTCGTAGTGGAAAGAAAATTGAGAATTGGGCTTAGGGTTTAATTTCTTGGGGGAGCCCCTCAGGGATCCCAGTGAATTTGTAGGCTTTGTAGTGGGATGAGGGGGGTCCTCATTCGGGATTCGGAGAAATACCCGTATAGAAAATTAACTAATGCTACTCCATTCAGGGTTGAGGGTGCAGGCCCGAAATAAGTAAGTAGAATAGTCGAGAATCAAGCAAAACTTCATTTAATCGTTATAGAAGGACTCCTTAGTGCCTTAGCAGGATTCGTTAGGTAGAGGCCTGGGGTCCCAAGATTCAAGGCCCCTGACCGGAGCCCTGCAATTTGGACTGGAACGTGCAGTACTCAAGCAGAAGGAATACATGGTGTAACTGGGCTAGGGAAACCAATACACGCCCTAACACCCCCGCACCCACACACCCACACCCTAAACCCAAAATCCCGAGCCCTCGGGAGCCTCTGCACAACAGTCAAGACTCCCTAGGCCACGCCTCCTGTGAACTCAGCAGGGAGGTAAGGTTGTCGAAGTTCCTCAGCTGCTTTAGGGTTGGGGGGGGGATGCTAGCTGAGGGTACGCTTTCGCACCGGAAAGCGGGGAGGTGGCCCTACAAACCCTAGGGATACAAACGGATGATGTGGGGATTATGCAGGAACGTTATTACAGGGTTTGGGATATTGGTTTACAGCGATCACATTGCTTGCTGGGACCTATGAGGAGATGATGATGCAGCGATCATGCGAAACTCCTGACTCGAGCTTTTGAAAGTATGTAACGGTATACACAAATGACTGTTCTGGACCCTTTGTAACTCCTACGTCCCTAATATTCTGGACCCTTTGTAATTCCGACGTCCCCACCCTGCGCCCTTATTCCACTAAAACCCAGATACACCAATATTCTGAGCCCTGTGTAACTCATGCGTCCCCACGCTGCACCTTCATTCTTTTCAAACCCTAAGACCCTAAAGCTCTAAACTCCAATCACTTCTACCAAGTCCACCCCAGCATCCACGACGGTTGCAGGGCAGACAGCTTCCAGAAGTTCTCCGACGCTGAGGACAGTGCAGCTGCATAAGTCTGTTTGGTGGCCTCCGTCCAGATGATTTGGGCTGAAGGCATTACGCATTACAAGCCCCAAGCCGGGATAGAACCTGAAAATAGAACCGGTGCAGACACCATTCCTCTAAGCGGGGCCTAGAACTTCTCTTTTGGTGGTGATCGCTCATACCTGCACTCGTCGCCCCAAATCAACAAGGCCAGCAAAAGCCTTTCTTCCCCAGTGCCCTAAACCCTAAACCATAGATTTGGGGGGTCAAATCGACATGACAGAAAATAGTCTACATAAACAACCTGGGTCTTCTGTTACGTAACCCCAAACAAATTCATGGAGGCATAAAATATTGGACTCCGGGTTTACCATGCTTAGGGCAGGTGTATGTATATATATATATATGGCTACTG